ACCTCTTTAAACAGCTGAACATTAACCATTTCCTTTTGGTACAATGACTCTGTATATACATACTAGGGGACTTAAAAAAGTTTGTGGAAAACTTACATTATCTGTTCATTCCATTAGTCTACAAACTTTCTGAAGCCCCCTCATATAAATAACTCTTTAAAATTCAATAATAAAAAGATAAAAACTCAATGAAAAATTAATCAAGGATCTGAATACACATTTATAAAATGGATAAACATTGAAAATATGCTGAGCATGTCAAGTCAGTCATAAAAGGGCAAGTATTGTACAATCTTATATGAAACAGCAAATATACAGAAACCAAGCTCGTTAGTGGGAGAGAGGGGACAGATTTTGCTTAGGGGACACTGAGCTTATGTTATGGCTGCACAGCATTAGGAACATAATCAGTGTTACTGTGTTAATATATGTAGAAATTGTTGAACTGGCGAATGCTCTGTTATGTGTACTTAAACACACACAAGAAATATTTTTAAATAGAAAAAAGTATGGCAAAGGGAGTCTCAAAGGTATTGGCTTTATTCTGGATGGGAATTTCTTAAGTGTTTATTCATCTTCATATTTTATATTTACATTACATATATTTGTATATATTTTCATTTTAAAAAAATCAATACACCTATTACTCACTGAATGACTATTTTATTATCTGACATTTCACATTTATGGTAACAGTGAAAACACCTAACTACTTTGTCCATTAACAACATCTGGCAGTAATGACCACCACGGTGCAAGGCAAAAGCAGAGCTGGCTTGGACGCTTACATGGATGTGTCAACTTCACTGGGCCACAATTCTCAGGGACTTGGCAATTATGTAATGATGTACTCAATCTCCTTTCACATATTGCAAATTTTTGCTAACAACCCTTGTTTGGAAGTGGGTGTATTTTCAGAATATCAATTCGCTCAAAGCACACTTTGCAATACACAGTTTCAAGAGACTTAAATAGTACATATGTGTGTGTATACTAACATGCATTATTATTTCCTCTTCAAACAAATCTCAAAATGCAAGAGGTTCCAATGTTTTCCACCCTGCAGAAAATTACTGATGCACTGATTTTATAACCACTTCCCTAGAGAAGCAACACTGAAAGGGCCTCTCTTGCCTTCTCCCAAATTGTTGCTGTTGAGTTGGTTCTGACTCATAGTAACCCTGCTTTACTGTTTCAAAGAAGCAACTGGTGGGTTTGAACCACCAACCTTGCAGTTAGCAATCCAGTGCTTATCCTACAACGCCACATCAGGACTCCCAAATAATGGCATATAAAAGAACTTTCTTTCTTCACTTATAGCTCTTACTTTGGGTTTGAAGTAATTAGAGTGGGAATTAGTTATTGTTCAAATACAGATGCTTGCCAAATTATGTACCCAGTGCTTCCTCATAGAAGTCTTCCCAAATAGTTTCATCTGGGTATTATTCAGCATTTTTGATACCATACTTCATCTAGGACCAATCCCAAAATTTGTAACTGCAAAATTCAGTTAATTGCATTTAACACCACCCTAATGAACTAAGTCTGTTACAGATAATTGTATAGTTACAGAATTTATTTTAAAACGCATAAGAATGCTTTTAGAAGCGCATTTGTTTAATTAGAAAATAAAAATAAAAAGGTAATTTTTACCTTTACCATTACATCTGAAAATAAATGTCACAAGAGGCATGAGATGACTACTCAGAACAATAAGCAATAGGATAAGCACTGGACTACTAACCTTAAGGTCAGTGGTTCAAATCCACCAGCCACTCCTTGGAAACCCTATACAGGGTCGCTCTGAGTCAGAAACGATGCTATGGCACTTAACAACAAGAAGTAAATGCTGAGACAAATAAATATGGACTGGAGAATTGATACTGTATAGATGCCAATGCTCTGTAATTTTCCCACAAATTCAATGCACTCTTAATCAAAACTTCCTCATGTGTGTGTGTTTGTGTTTGTGTGTAAGTTAACAGGCTGATTCACAATGTATAAGACCTTTTAAAGAGCTAAGACATTGTGGAAGAAAAACAAAGTAGGAGGACTTCTCCATACCAGACATGAAGCCATGTATAGGGCAGTGTGATTGTTAATTTTATGTGTCAACTTGAGTGGGTTATGGTTCCCAGTGATTTGGCAAAGGACTAGTTACTGTTCCATAATGTAATCAAACATAATCAATTAATTAGGCAGCTCCAAGGGGCGTTTTCTTAGGGTGTGTGCTGCCTCCAGACAACAGGTATTTTGGTAGAATTCACTCTCTATGTTCACTCTGCACCTGTTCTGTCACCTGACCTATGGATCTTAGGATGCAAGACTAAGAAATCTCTAGGCAGCCAACGGACCTATAGATTTTGGATTTGCCCTCTTTAAAAATGGTGTGAGGTGATGTCTGACCCCTGATGTCACAACTACAGGTCTTCTATCATCTAAAGCAAAGAAGAGTGAAGAAAATCCAAGACTCAGGAAAACAATCAGTCCAAAGGACTCATGAAGCACACAAACCACAGCCTCCACTGATAACCACATACAGCTATGGAGACTAAGCTTTGCAGCACGCCATCTCTACAGTGAATAAAAGGAATCTTCAAAGATGGGTTTCTCTTCTTTTCTAAAGAGGTTTGGAAAAAATCCAAACCAAGCCCTTGTTGAATTAAATTAGAATTTCTATAGTATTTTAAATTGTTTCTTAATAAATAAGGCTTTATAAAAACAATAGAAGGGTAAATGGCTTTGACTGATGCCCTCCCATGAGAAAGCAAGAAGCATTCCAAAACACTTAGGAAAGCAAAGCTATTCTTAATGTATCAAAGCAGTGAAACTTAGCTCATCTTTACAAACTGTGTAAGTGACAACTGTTATTTTAATCAACAGAATAATGTTTACAATTCATTTCTATCTTGAATACAAAAATTTTATAGTTATTTTTTTCTTAAATCCTTACTTAAAGTTTGTTATTGTTCTTAAAAGGAGCTCTGGTAGCGTAGTGGTTACGAATCGGGCTGCGAACCTCTCGGTCAGCAATTCGAAACCACCAGCTGTTCCGTGGGAGAAAGATGAGGCTTTCTGCTCCCGTAAAGATTTATAGCCTCGGAAACCCTGTACAGGGTCGCTATGAGTAGGAACCAACTCCACAGCACATCACAACAACAACAATTGTTCTTAAGCTCTGTCGAGTTGGTTCCAACTCAGAGAGACTTTGCATAGAGTTTATGAGGAGTGGCTGATGAGTTCTAACTGCCAATCATGTGCTTCAAACCCACCTAGAGGCTGAGCATTTATCCTATACTGCCAGACCAGGATTCCATATACTCCTTATATTCATTGTAAAGAAAATAAATTAATAAAGAGAAAATAAAACTTATCCTTAAATCCAACAATGAGAGATAGCTATGGATACCATAATATGAGATCATTCTTACCTTTGTAAGGTGTCCCCAAAGTTGTTGCATATACGTTCTTCTCATATTTCATTAAACGGTCTTGTAAATTGTGGATCTAAAAATAAATATCCAAACAATATCATAAGACTTATAATAAGGAAATTATATGTAAAGAACAAAAAAGACTGTTGTTGAAGCCTTGTTTTAAAAGCTGAAGACAGAATATAGGCAAACAACATACAAATAGTTTCTTAGATACAAAGACAAAAGTACAAGCAACAAAGAAAAAAAGATATAAAACTGGACTTCATCAAGTTTAAACATCTGTGCAAAGAAGACTAATAAAAGAATGAAAAGACAACCCAAAGAATGGGAGAAATTACCATGTATCTGATAAGGGTCCAGTATCCAAATACATAAAGAACTTGCACAACTAAACAACGAAAAAGCCCACCCCTCGTAGGGCAGTAGGTTAACTCATGGGACTGCTAATCACAGGTTCAAATCCACCAGCTGCACCATGGGAGAAAGATGATGCTTTTTGCTTCTGTAAATATTCACAGCCTCAGAAATCCTATACAAAACCACTATGAGTCAAAAGTGACTCTATGGCATGCAGCAGAAAAGAAGATTTACATTGTTACTGTGTGTTGTTAAATGTGTTCTGACTCACAGTGACCCTGTGTAGGCTTTCCGAGACCAGCTTGTGGGTTTGAACTGCTCACCTTGTAGTTACCAGTACGGTGCTGATCCTAAGTACAAATCAAACCCACAATAAGTTACCATTTTACACTAGCTGTTGTGAAGTGTCATTGAATGGATTCCAACTAACTCATAACAATCCTGTAAAGGGTTTCCAAGGAGCAACATTTAGGTTAGCAGTCCAGTGCTTATCATACAGCACCACACCAGGACTCCTCACAACTACCATTGTTAAGTACTGTCGATTCCAAGTCATAGAGACCCTGTATAGGGTTTCCAAGGAGTAGCTGGTGACTTTGAACTGTCGACCTTGTGGTTCAAACCGACCAATGCTTATCTTACACTAGGACTCCTCACACCCACTAGGAAGTTTATAACCAAACAAGCAAAAAAAAAAAAGATAAAGCAAGAGTGGAGAAATTAGAGCCTTCATAAATTGCTCATGGGAATGTCAAATGATGGCAGCTGCTGTAAAAAAAAACGGTTTTGTGATTCCTCCGTAGGTTAATAAAGAATTAACCCTTGTTGTTGTTAAGGGCCATTAAGTCAGTTCCAACTCAAAGTGACCCTCTATAGGTGGGTCTGAACCACCAACCTTGCAGTTAGCAGTCCAGTGCTTATCCTACAGTGACACACCTGGACTCCCAAAATTATCCTCTGACCCAGCAATTCTGTTTCTGGATATATTATACCCCAAAGAATTGAACATAGTTGTTTAAGCAAAAACTGTACATGAATACTCATAGCAGTATTAGTTACAATAGCTTGGAAGTAGCAACAACTTATCTATCAACTGATTAATGGATAAGCAAAATGTGGTAAATATCCAGTCACAAAAAGCAGTGAAGTACCGATGCACACACTACAACATAAATGAACCTCCAAAACACTAAGCTAAATGAAATAAGCCAGATACAAAAGGCCACAAATTACATGATTCCATTTACATGACACATCCAAAATAAGCAAAGTCATAGAGAGAAAAAGCAGATTAGTGGTTGCTAGGGGTTACAAGAAGAGGATAATGGGAAATGACTGCTCAATGGGTATGAAGCTTCCTTTCGTGATGCTAACATGCTATTGAACTAGATAGTGGTGATGGTTGCACACCATTGCAAATATATCAAACATCTCTCAACTGGACACTTTAAAAAGATTAAAATGGTGTATGTTATATGGATACTATCCCAATAAAAAATTCCATACAAAAACTGTTAAGCTAGGATGCTTTTAAAGATGTGAGGATGCAAAAACAAGAAAATTTTAAAGCGACAATTTTGGAAACAGATGGAAAAAGCTAAATCACACGAGTAGAAAAAATAAGTAACACAATATTGGGACTCTGTAGTCTTTAGAATTTTCTTCTTTAAACTGATAATGAAAAATTTCAAACATCCCCAAATATAGTAAGTATAGCATAATACATGCTCATTTACCCACCCTATACTTAGATCCAACAATTATCCAGATTTTTATCTATATGATTTTAGAGGGAAGTAGGAAATTCCTGGAAAGTCAGCCTTTAAATTTATCCTAAACTGAACCGATACTCTTCCAAAGTCTTGGAAAAAGACTTTACTTAAAGATCATGTACTACAGATATATATACTGGCATGTGCATGCCTGCAGGTATACATGCTTGGACCTATTTTTAAATGAATTACTAAATAATATGTACACAAATCATATTAAACCAAGATAGTTTAGTTTACCTGCTAGGAAAAAATAGCAAAGATTAATGCCAATGTGTTTTCTCTCAGATTAAAAAAGAAAAACTTAGAACTAAAGTTATTATGAATTATGTAAGTATAAATTACTCCAAAATGTGAAGCCCTAAAATATAACAGGATGCAAATGATCTTAAGTATGAGGGTGTTTCAAAAAGTTCAATTTTCAAAAAATTGAAAGATAATGTAATTTTTCCATGAACTTTTTGAAGTCCCCTGGTATAAGAGATTAAAAATTATAGCGATATCCTGGTGTGGCACTGTGGGATCAGCACTGGACTGGGAACCACAAGGTCAGCAGTTCAAACCAAACCTGTACAGGGTTGCTATGAGTCGGAACCGACTTGATGGCACCTAACAACATAGTACCTGGTGTTGTTGTTAAGTGTCATCGAGGCAGTTCTGACTCACAATGACCCTGTGCAGGATTTTCCAAGAACCAGCTGGTGGGTTTGAACCACTGACTTAAGGTTAGTAGTCCAACATTTATCCTACAGCACCACACCAGGAGTCTTGTGCCTATGGATTTGAATTTAAATTCCTATGAAAGGTAGAATGATTGCAAAGCCAACTATTAAATCAATTATTTTTAACAAATTAGCTAAATGAGATCCAAGTATCTCCCAACATGAATTAAGGAGGTTAGTTCCAAATAAAAGATATCAGGTAGGCCTGTACCTGTTCTCGGAACTCCTGCTCTTTCAACTTTGAATCACTGATAAGAGTAGTCTTCTGTGCCAGCTGTGTCTGAAAGAACAAAAAGTCAGATATGATCTGTACATGGATTTTCATTATTGTCAAGGCACATTTCTATACTGGTTAGACATTTTTTCCTTGTCAAAACAGTCTGTTTATTGTAAGTTAAAACACTGATTGATCCTGAAAATACACTGCCTTCAATCAAGTTCAGTCTTACCTGCAGCTCTGCAATTGTTATCTGCAAATAGGGAAGAAAAGAAAAATCAGTATATACACTAAAATCTACAATAACAATAACATACAGCAGTATGAAATTATAAGGAAATAAGTCATACTCTTTCTTAGTTGTTGTTGTTAAGTGCAGTCGAGTCGGCTCCAACCCATAGTGACCCTGTATAGGGTTTCCAAGGAGCAGCTGGTGAGCTTGAACTACCGACTCAAGGTTCAAACTGACTGTGTAGTCCAGCACATTAACCCACAGCGCCACACAAGGACTCCCATAGTCTTAAGGAACAGTCAAATTTGAGATAAAGCAATTTAAAATATTTACTTTAAAATTTGGTTTATTTTGTTTCTTTGTTATACAAAGAAACATAGGTGAAGACAAAACAAAAGGTGACCAACAATGATCACCACTGGGGGCCTCATGCAGGTGGCAAAGAGAGGCTTTCCTGTTTTATTCTGTAGTATCTGACTCTTTTAACAAGAAGAGTATATTTCTGCATTATTTGTGTATTTTAAAAAATTTAACATTTTAATGTCTATGTAAATACATAGTCCCTGTAAGGATTTCTGAAGCATTGTTTTTGGAAACCTGCTCTGAGTTATGATCACAGCACTTCATTTTCATAGCAGCCAATGCTGGTATCCAATCTAAGAGAGTCCAAACACCTCAAAAGATGCTCAAGAAGAAACAGGGTAGAAACTTTTGAAGAATAAAACAGAAAAGTATTTCTCTCAGAGTAGAAATAAAAATTTAGGCTAATTTGCTCTCCCTTCTTATGGCACAAATAAAGAGCTCAGAAAACCTATGTTTCAAATACTTAATACCACTACATAGAAATTTATACTTGCAATCAACGAATAGCTCATGTTACATAGTAAGATAAATGCATTCTTCTCATAAAGCACTGCCATAGCATTGATTCTGACTCAGAGTCCGGGTGGCACAGTAGTTAAGTGCTTAGCTGCTAATTAAAATGTTGGCACTTCTATTTCTGCTTTCGTACAGATTGGACAACCCATAGGGCAGATCTACTCTGCCCTAGGGGGTTGCTGTAAATGGGAACTCTTAGAGAAAGCAGTACTTAATAGCACCCGCTTCAAGTCAAGACTGAAAGAGGAGGGAGTGGGGAAGTAGGTGGTGGAGCGACCAGAACTTAATATTAAAAACAAAAAACAACGCAGTCCACTTAGCTAGCTTAGCGCTTATAAATAAGGAATACATATCAAATAGCACAGGAAAGTGCTTTATACAATAGGTTGCTTAGAAAATTGGTAGCTGGTAAGTGACATTCTGTTATGAACACTGTAACTCTTGCTAATGAAGTCATGAGCAGTGTCTACCCAACTTCCTGAGCTTTTCACCACAGCGGCAGCGCTATGAAAAGGCTACACTGCATGACAGAGAACAGCTGAAAAAGTCCACAGTATAATGTCAGACTGTACCACTGGGGTTGTCAATGGGGCTCATACCCTAGGGGTGTGCCCCTGGTGAGGTGCATGGCGGAACAGGAAGCTACAGGGTAAACATGGCTCATCTTCACAGCATCAATGTTACTTATAAAGATTAGAAAAATAAAAAGCCTAGCTATGCAGTGCCAGCTTACTTCAGTCAATCCAATTTTCTAAAATAATCACAAATCATCTGCATTTGGCCCATTAATCACACAGAAAGGTAGGAATGGATGTTCTTTATGGAATGTAACTTAAAATGCTATTTTTATGTGACTATAAATAAGGACATGGAGTCCTGGTGTGGCACTGTGGGTTAATGTGCCAGACTGCAAAGCCATTTCAACTGCAAGGTCGGTGGTCCAAGCTTACCAGCCGCTCCTAAGAAACCCTATACAGGGTCGCTATGGGCATATTATAAAGGAAAATTTAAATTTTACAAAAATACTTAACACAAAACTCTAAAAACATATACTAATTACAGACCATTTTGACTTTGCCTTAGGACTACGAGGTGCACTCTCCTTTGCTAGCCCCTTCGTGGAATGTCTAGGATGTGAGGTTTGGCAGACTGGGTTTAAATTCCCACTGCACTCAAACATTTTATTTATTAACCTCTTTGAAACTTAGTTTCCATGCCTGTCAAATGGAAAGAAGAATCTCTCTCATGCAAGATTTTTTAACTAACATACATAGTAACTATGTATGTTAGCAGGCAAGGCAAATAATGAAAATATTCTTTACAAGGAACGTCTGAAACAAGCTCAAGGTCTTCTCACATTATCACTATCAGGGCTTTCCTCCTGCGGATGCTGCCCTTGCTGGCATTTCTCCTGCAGCTCCTCCAGTTGTGTCTGTAGGTCCATAACTTTGGCAGTCATTTCTTCTTCACGAGCCTGTAGGGTAAAAAGGGCAAAGTATTAATGCAAACCCTATCAAGAGAACACTGCAGAGAGCCAACACAGTGTAGCAAAACTACTTTTGTAAAAGAAATGAAAGCCTTAAGAGCTTACTGTTTTTATTTTCACTCAATACTATGCTCTAGACACTTTCTTTCAGGACATATTTTAACCACAGCCTTTTATTGTTATAAACTATTTCTAGGATTTCATTTTCCCCAACCTCACTTTCTCTATTCCCAGTCCCCAGAACTAACCCAGCAGTTATCCCTTTCAACTAGGGTTCTCTCGGGTTTAAGCAATAATTAGGTATATACCAGTGTTCTGACAAACAATACAGAACCTGTATTTAATGACTCTGGCCTTTTCTGTCTTGTGATTTGATTTCTAGAAGGTACTCTTTATAATAAACCAGGATATTTTCATACACAGCTCTGTTCAGTCAGTTGGTAACATATTGTTCATGAGAAGATGTGGATTTTTTTACTGCCTTTCGAGGGGCTATATATATAAATCAAGGGATGGTTCTTATTCCTAGTTCAGCAAACCTATATACCTCAACTATCAATCTGCCTCAAAACCACATAAGGCGTTCTTTAGCAACCACTGCAATTTCTCCATTTGCCCTGAAACTTGTAAAATCTTTGCATTAAATAAAGTACTATGTGACTTTCTGATCCAATGATTCCACTTATAAAATGTGGCATACAAATCATCCTCTATTTTGTTATGATTGCGGCACACAAGAACAGCAATAAAGTCGGATGCTGCTGCACATCCATACATTCCCTCATGCTTGGTCTTATTAACTGCAATGATTTATTATATGGTTCAACTCAGACCTCTCCTCACTCTTATAAATCTTGCAATAACCTTTGCACCAAAAGAACATTTGGAATTGGAATATCGATCAGATTTGAGTAATGAAGACATGTGTTTGCTGAATAAGAGATTCAGCAGGAAAAACCACTACAAACAGGTATTTATTTGATGCTGACTTGTCTGAACAACAAGAAATGATGAAGTCTCAAAAGCAAATAGACAAAAGCAGATAGTTAGGCTCCATGGCATAAAATAAGGCAATGAATCATGGTTATGAACTGGGCTGCTAACCTCAAGGTCAGCAGTTCGAAACTACCAGCTGATCCGCGGGAGAAGGAGGAGGCTTTCTACTCCCGTAAAGATTTATAGCCTTGGAAACCCTGTACAGGGTTGCTATGAGTCGGAACCAACTCCACGGCACAGAACAACAACAACATCATTAAACTGGAGTTCTGCTGTGGTGCTGTGGGTTAATATGCTGGACTGCAAGGTTGGTTTGGACCACAAATTGGTGGTTCAAGTTCACCAACTACTACTCGGAAACCCTATACAGAGTTGCTATGAGTTGGAACCAACTCAGTGGCACTTCACAACAATAACATCATTAAACCTTCTTAGACTAACTGAAAAAGAACAAACCTCTCCCAGTATATTAAAGCAGGGAACCCTTGTCACGAGGCTCCTTAGCTATCCCCTTACTGAAGTATATAGTAACCTGGTCTCTACCCTAATACCACTATCTATGAGTAAATGTCACACACACATCACTGCCCTCAGTCCTGGCTTACCAGTGTGGAAATCTGTGTCAATGTGGGCTAGCTTCATTAAACCATAGCTCTCTATGGCTTTTTATGCAGCTAGGTGCAGATTTTTAATATCCTCTGACAGTTGTGTGATGTCAGCCTAAAGTCAGTTCTCTAAGAATTATAAAAGAATCCTTAATGTGTTATTTCTAATAAAAATTCCTACAATTTTCCTTGTAAGAAGCTTTCTGGTATTCTTGAAAAAATGTTAACAGTACTGTTTTGAAATTCTAATAATAAAAGAAATGCTAGTTAAACTGAGTCTTTATGCGTAGCAATTTCTTCTGAAGGACAGTTATTACGTCAAAAACAAATCACTAAAAACCGTGTTAATAAGAAACTAGGTTTGTATTAACAGAGCTTTTGTGGCTGCAAGGTCGGTTTGAATCTCAAAGTCAGCAGTTTAAGCTCACCAGTCACTCCACAGAAAACCTATACAGGTTCACTATGAGTTGGAACTGATTCAATGGTACTAACCACCACCACCTCCAAATGAGACTGCTCTGAGAATGGGACTAGCTTCCTTCTTCTTGTATACAGGTATTTTGTGTTATGACGAACTGCACTTAAGAGTATTTGGTTTTCTTTTTTGGACATTATATAATTAGTATTATGCACTGCATAATTACAATTACACTACAAGCTCATGTATGTAGTGTAATTGCCTGATGTTATCAAGCTCAAATGCTCAAAAATCAGATTTATAAAGATAATAATAATATTTTTTTCTAAAAAGGTATTCTACATAGACCAGAACCAATCTACGATGGTCTTCAGAACAGAACCGTGTCATAAGCTGGAGACTACCTGTACTCAAATCTAATTTGACTTCTTACCACCTTCTCTTCCCAAGGGAATTCTTGTCTACCCTCCAGTGTATCACCTCCTTCAAATTTATCACGTGCCCATTATGTGCCAGGGACTGGGTTAAGCACTAAAGAGATGAGTAGCAAATTCCCTGCCCATAAAATGTTTACAGCCTAGTGAAGAAGACAGATGCATTGATATATACATGGATATATATATGTATCTATGTCAAAAATTACATGCCAAAAGTAGAGTATCAGAAATACAGTAAGTGCCTAGAGAACCCAGGCGTAATTCTACTAAAGGAGTTACTTTAAAATAAATAAATAAAAGCACATTCAGAAAGCTTATTTTTTTAATAAGAAAGAGGAACAACAGATTTCGTTCTTATTCCTCCTTGCATAAGAAAACATCAAGTTATCATATAAGAAATGAATAGTTACCATTGGAGAGAGGAGGGATGGGACATAGAACACATAGGAGAAGGATAGGGGACAATTCCTATAGTATACTATTCTTCAAGCATGCCTTCTTTCTTATTATATAAGTGTGATCTTTGAACCAGTGAATACATTCACTTCAATTTTTTTTTCTAAATAAAAGTTATTTTTATATATAAAAAAAACAAACAAAATAGAGACGGGAAAACCTGCATGAGTGCATGAAGTGTGAGAACGCTTTTCTTGTTGTTGTTATTAAGTGACATAAAGTCCGCTCTGACTCATAGAGACTCTATAGAGGGTTTCCAAGGAGCAGGTGATTGGCTTGAACCACTGACTTTGTGATTAGCAATCATGCACTTATCCTACACCACCACACCAGGACTCTAGTGCATCTTTAAGCAGGTGGAAAAGCCTGCACAAAGGTAAAATTTAGTGATGGTGCAGCTAACATTGAATTTAGCTGAAACATTTGAGAATGATAATATCAGCCAGTTATACTACATACATAGCATTAGAGGAGGCATCCCTGGGACAATGGGAAGTCAGGGCAGGTATTTCAAAGAAGTGATATGATCACACCTTTGTTTCCAGATAGAAAATAATTCTAAAAGACAGTAAAATGTATTAGCACACAGAGATCAAATGACAAATACCATAGACCAGACCAGACCAGACCAGATCAGATGAGATACAAAATGGAAGTCCAGCCTGAAGCAATAGCAAAGGAGAACATGCCATGTGAGTCAGTGTATGATATGGTACTAGGAATATTCAATTAAAAGAAGATGATTTCTCTGCCTAGTAATTCAGGGGTGATAAGCAGATTTTACATCCTAGTAGGTATATTGATTTGTATGCGTGAGGAGTTTCAGGAGGTAGGAAAGGAGAATCAAGGATGATCACAATTCCAACTTCTTCAAATGGCGAAATGGTAAGAATGTTATCTAAGACAGAAAAGACAGGGAAATGAAAACATGTACAGGCTCAAAGTTGTTATTAACAAACTACAGAATTATTTTAAAGGATGACAAAGATATAGATAGCATTCTAAGATGTCATCATTACGAGAAATCATCAATTTGACAACAGCCTTTGGGGGATGGATCAAAACTATATAAAACATACTAAAACTCCAAAAAAACCTCTAATTTCAGAAACTTAAAATTGGAAGAACGGTATGGAATATGTCTCAGAGTCAAAGCAATATAGTTTTTGCTAAGAATTGCAAATATCTCTTTACAGTAATCTTTGCATTTTAAAAGAAGTTCTTCAAGACAGATTTGGATCTGGGTGTTTAGATGGGGGCTGTCTCCTTAATTACAAAGCCAGCCTGGACAGTTGAGGGTCCAGAGCTCTAGTGTGTAGTACAGTAGTCCTCAGCTACCCTAGTGGCTAGTGAGCACTTGAAATGTGCGAGTCTGAATTGAGATGTGCTGTGAGTGTAAAGACACACTAAATTTCAAAGAACTAACACCAAAAAAATACACAAGGAAAATATCTCAATAATTTTTAGTGACATGTTGAAACAATAATACTTTAGATACACTGGATTAAATAAGATATATTATTAAAACTTGATGTTCACTTATTTCTTTGCCCGCTACAATATTTGAAATGACTTATGTGGTTCCCATTTGTTACTGTGCCACTCACTGTGCAACAGTAGGAAAAATCACTGAACTACACTCGCTTTTCCTTTTGCAAAAAACAAAAGAACTAAACTAGCTTTAATGCATCTTCCAATTCCAAAATTCTCTAAGCATTAAAGAAATAAAAATAATTTTCTAAATGTAGGACATATATACACTATGAAAACATTAAAAAAAGCAAAACTATGTAAATTTTGATTTTTATTAAAATTATTTAAACTTTCTTTTCAATTAAAATTTATAAAAGCACAACGGGCTGAGGTTGCTTATATATAACCGAACATTCTCATGGGATATGTATGGTTCCTTGGTTTGGAGGTTTAGGGTCATATTCATAGGGCAACTCACCAAGTTAATTGGCCTAAATTGGTTTACTTCTTCTATTCTATCTCCTAGTTTGTGGTATAGTACCTGTGGTCTTAGAAGCTTTCAGACAGCCATCCAAGGCACAAAGGTTGGTATCTATTCACTTGGAGAAAGAAAGGAAGGGAGACAACCAGGAGGAGGAGGAGAAGAAAGAGGAAATAAAAATGGAAGAAATGGAATGGTCTCCTTTGCCAGAAGACTAGAACAGAATGGTGGCTCATTGCCATTCCTGAATATGATCAAATATCTATAGGATGGTTGGCCAGCAGTATGACAAGAGATGGGGACTCCTGGGACCAGAGACAGTGACACGGCCACAGAGGACTAGAGCAGAGAGTTAAGCGTCCTGCTGATATAAAGTGAGGGAGATGCACAAGAACACCAGTACTTGCAGATAGTAGCCACCTGACCTGGCTTTGATGGCTGGATGATCAGAACTCGGCTAGAAGAAGAAAGAAGAGGGGGATAAAAGAGTAATCAGCTACAATTTGATGAACTTGACCTATACTTATGGATGTAGTACCTCAAAAGAGGGAACAAATCTTTACAGCGAGGATCATTCCAACCCCTTGGTACACAGGGTTGACAGGGATAGGCAACTTGGACATTGGCTACCCAAAATGGAGGGGCTACAAAGGCAAGAAGCGACTGGCTTACAAGCTTTCAAGAGGGAGCCTAGTTCCAAAGGATAAGGGAGAAGGTAGACTCTCTGCTGAGTGGTTTCCAATCTGTCAGGATGGAGCTGACGAAAGGGAATGGGGATAAGAATCTTGTAGTACAATAGTGAGTAACTGCTATCAGGACTGACTATGAGGGTTGGAAATGTAAAGGGAGACGTTTTGTAGCAAAATGAGGGGAGTGGTTGACATTGCAGTCCAGGCACGGAGGTCCCTAGGACCATCAAGTGAGAAGAGCAGAGTGTGGGACCCTATCCAGACAAGCAGGGATGCCAGAGATGGAGGCAGAGACGGATGACGTGGAGAGATGGAGCGGCGGGGACTCTGGACCCAGAAAGGGAGAGGGTCTGTGTGCTGATGACTGAGGGGCAGGCTTGCAGGGTATGCCCTTTGGCTGGTTGATGATGCATGGAGGGTACTGTAGTCATTGCAATGAAACGAAATATGACCGGATGAATGTAAAGCTGGTGTTCTCCCACATAAACCATCACATAATTCACAATAAAAACTTTGAAAAAAAAAAAAAAAGATTCCATAGGAGAATCCTGATCTATAGGTAGAAAATGGAGAACAGAATTTCAAATTCCCATGGACTCCAAACTTTCTGGAATCACGAAGGCTAATAAATCCTTGAAATTATTGTCCTAACACAATCTTTAAACCTTAAATTTAAAATATCCTCAGAAGGCATCCTAAACTAAACAGTAAAGGAAGTCTGCCTTGAGCATTATGCATTTTTAAAGAACTATCTATATGGAATTAAACTGACGGTAGCAATTTGAAAGACTAGATAGAAACCTTAGAGGACAGTGAAAAGGGTAACTAACACCACTCAGAGAAGAGCACATGTAGAAATTTGAAATGGTATGTTTTTTCTGTGTATACTTTCAATATTTTTTTTTAAATGACACATAGGTGGCATTTATAGGCATGTGTCATATCCTCGAATTTGAGCCTTTTCAATTACATTTCAAATAATTATGACTTGAAACTGTTCTTTGCAGATTTCTATCAGTACTGCCATAGTCAGTTGAGGTATGAGTCTAGGATTTAAACATGTTTTAATCATCAAATCATTCTTGGCACATTCTGAAATGAGTAACTAAAAAATCTGAGAATTTGTATTGCTTACATTTGAAAATGAATCTCACTAGCATCTGTGGCTTATCTTTACACACAAAAATGATGATACTAATCCACCCGTTAGTAGAATTCATACTTTGAGTGAATATTCCACCAAATACAGAAGAAGATTTGGTGACAAATTCCACTTTTCCCCTCCCCTTCCTCCACCTTTTATTCTCCCTTGAAAGCACTAAACTCCATCTGTAAATTGGGTTGTTGTTGTTGTTGTTAAGTGCCGTCGAGTCGGTTCCGACCCATAGCGACCCTGTACAGGGTTTCCGAGGGTGTAAATCCTTACGGGAGTAGAAAGCCTCATCTTTCTCCCGCGGAGCGGCTGGTAGTTTCGAACCGCTGACCTTAAGGTTCACAGCCCGATTCATAACCACTACGCTACCAGAGCTCCTTTGTAAGGTAGAGACAGTAATATTTAGTTAATTGACACTTCCTAAAAGGCTCTAGTTGAGCCACACAGCCGCACTCAAACACAAACTAACTACTAACTGTTCTACTACTAAGATTCCATCTATGGACAAACTCTCAAGCATTTGTCTGGGTCCCTCACAATTCAGTCTGAAAAGAGAATCTATTCTTCCTTTTAATGACTCATTGCTGATTCAATACCAGTAAAGATTTGTATTACTGCCTGGTTAGCAAAACCTTATTAGGAAGCTACAATTCTGGTAGTAATCAATTCGATTCTTTATAAACCCTTCATACAGTACAGAAGTACTAATTTAGACAACGTTGCTTTTGTTGTTAAGTGCCCTTGAGTCAGATCTGACTCAGTAATCTGGTAAAGGGTTTCTGAGGAGCAGCTGATGAGCTTGAACAACTGATGTTGCAGTTCAAACTGACTCGGCTGTCCAGCGCATTAACCCACAGAACCACACCAGGAAAACAACAGGAAATGTAATGGCCCAACCTTTTCCAGCACTAGCATGAAATCGATTACAGCTATGTTAAAAAGAGAGCAAGAAAACAAGGTACATCAAGGATTTCTTCGTATCTTTTGGCTGTTCTTTTTAGATCATCTTCCTTCTCTGCAATCTTTTTATGTAACTGATTTGTCTCTTCTTGATGACTTTCCAAAAGCTCAGCCTCCACCTCCTGGGCCTTATCTATTAAAGAAAAAATGGGCAAACACAAGAAAATACATTAGGCAAGAGTTTATATATCTATATCCCAATCTAAGTACCAACCCATATTCTAAATTAGTTTTGATAAAAATTAATTTCATATAAGCATTGTAACATATTTAATGAAGCATCCAGGTCAAGAGCAATCAAATGTACCCTTCTTAAAAGACCAGATGAGTCTATGTTGTTAAGAGCCATTGAATCTGTTCCAACTCACAGCAAACCTGTACAGGGTTTCCGATGAACAGCTGGTGGGTTTGAACTGCCAACCTTACAGTTAGCAGTCCAGTGTTCATCCTACAGTGCCACATCAGAACTCTTGTAAAGAAGAGTCTTTCTAAGGTTATTCATGTTTTCAGTTTCTTTTACCTGATCCTCCTTCCGTCTTAAGGAAAGTCACTGTCAGGGTCCCAAAAGAGAACTTTCTTGAGAGAGACAGCAATATTTTTCTCCAATTTAATTACTTAAAGCACTTAGCACACGTGTGAGAAGAATAAGCTTGAATTATAACTAGCCCTGCTGATTCTGAATTGCTCCTTACTGACTTTAAATTTTTACTTACCGATGGTTTCTTTAATGGTCATTTCCAGATCCTGCTCCTTTTGTGCTAACTGTGTATTAAACTCCCTTATCAGCTGCTTTAATGTGGAATTGTGTTTCCACTGAAGATCTTCTTGCTCCAATCTAAGTAAGAAAAATGTAAAGTGAACTGCTGCCACACAAAGAAAAAACTGGAAAATGTAATCTGGTCTTCAAAACAGTGCATACAGTTTGAACTCATTGGTATAAAAACTATTTTAAGGGCATATGTGTACGTGTATATATGTATGTGTGTGGTTAGGCACAGAAACTTCTGGAAGGATACAAAAACTGCAATTACCTCTAGGAAAGTTAATCCTTGAGGATTAGAGAATTATGTGCATCTATGTTATATAATAATAAAAATAATTATATATAACAACATGATCTTTCATGCAAAAAAGAAAAAGGTTGGTCATCTCCCCACTACCCCACTCCATGGCATAATATTTTCTATTTGGTAGCGAGGAGTAGGTAGAGCTTTAAATAACCATATTAGGCCCAAAAAAAAAAAAAAAAAAAAAAAAGGAGGGAGGCATAATTAAAGTAATCATGCTGAAGTAAATCTTTTAAAGTAATCATGCTGAAGTAAAACTTACTTGATTTTCTCTTCCAATTCTTGTTCACATTCTTTCTTTACCAGATCCAATTCTTGCTGATGCTCCTTCAGCAACATTCGAAGGTCTTTCTGCAATTTAGCAATCTCCTTGCCCAGTCTCTGCTTTTCCCGTTCTGCCGCTGCTAATTTAAATTCCAGGTCACTGCCCTGGGACTCCGTGTTACCAACCAATTTGGGTTGCACCACATGTGATGTTGACTTGTTTTCAACACTTTCTTCCAGAACGTCTGTGGGTTTATTTTTTCCATCCATCTGCTGTTGTAAAGCCTGCAATTTTTCATATTTTGAGGTCAACTCTTCTATTTCAACTCTATGTACTTCCTTCTCTCTTACTAAGCAGGAATCCAGCTCTTTTATCTTTTGCTCCAAGATCTGACAGGTTAGTTCCTTCTCCTGGAGAGTTTTCTGGACATTGTCAGCAACAGTTTCCAAAGTTTGCTTTGCCTCTGTTTTATTTTTCCCTCCTTCTTCCATATGCTGGGATATTACTAAGGAATAGTTGTTTTTTTCAAGTACTTCTTTAAGATGATCTATCACAACTTGATCTTCATGTTGCTTTATTTCAGCATGTTCTAACTTTTCTAAGAGTTCCTGGTATTTGCACTGCATTTCAGAATGAGCAAACATTGTTTCTTCTTTTTCCTGCTCTAGTCTCTGTAATACCTTTTCTTTTTCAGTTAAATTTATTTGTAAAGCACTAATTTTTTCTTCAGATGCCTTCTGCACAGAGTCTTGAAAATTTGCTCCTTCTTGTTTGGAACCTACTATCATATTTTTTGCTGACTTGGGTATAAATGATGCTTCTGATTGTGGTAAACTTTCTACTAACTTAAATTTTTCTTCCAAGATGAGAACTTCCTTCTCTTTTTCCTGCAATTTTCTATTTAGTTCACTTAAGTGGCTTTCTGTATCTTTTTTATATTGCTGTTCTTTGTCTTCCATTTGAGACAACAACTGTTTCTTAATGGCTGCAATTTTTTGTTCAGCTTTTTTCTTCAGTTCTGCTAATTTTGCAGCACTTTCCAACTCGAGTCTCTTTTCCAGCGCCTTTAATGCCTCTTCTTTTCCTTTCACACTTGAATCCACATGCTCCAATTCTTTATTCTTAGTTTCAAGTTCAGACTTCATGGAAGACACTTGCTTTTCAAGTCTTAAGACCCTTTCTTCAGCTTCTATAACCCTGTTATCTTTTTCTTCTCCTAACTCTTGAATATGTTGAAGTTTCTGAACCAGTTCTTTCTGTTCAACATCCTTTTGTTGATTGTAATTTTTAAGGATTTCACTTAAAGACTCAATTTCAATTGCTTTCTGAGTTATGTGTTCCTCTAACTCTACAATCCTTGCTGTTTGAGTTTTTAGCTCAGTCTCTAAATTACACTTCTTCTTCTCCATTGGACTTTTATTATCTTCCATTTCACCCTTTAAACACTCAAATCTTTTACTTTGCTGACCAAGGTCTTCCTTCAATAAATTTATCTGCTCATCCTTTTCACTGGTTTCCTTTGTTTTTAGTTCAAGCTGCATCTGCAACTCTTTAATAGCATTTTGATTCTGTGTAAGTCTTGACTGTGCTTTCTTCTTCCATTCTGAAAATTTGTTAGACAAGTGATCTGCCTGCTCAAGAGCAGAATTTTTCTCTTTATTCAGAGTATCAACTTTCAAAGATAAATTCTGCACCTGCTCCAGCAACCCTTGTTGTTCTTTATCATACTGCTTACTTAGTAATGAAATGGCAGCTTCTTTTTCCACTACACTAATACTATTCTGAAGCTGATCGTTCAAATCTGCTAGCTGTTTATTAAGACAGCTGATCTCAGACTTTTTTTCTTTAAGATCTTCTCTCATCGAAGTGACAGCATTGATATTTTCAGATAACTCTTTCTTTAGCTGTGTGATACAAGACTCCTTTTCAGAGGCAGCCTGTTGCTGGTTGCCTCCTTCTTTCTGTAAGGCTTCTTTTTCTGTTACAAGACCTTCAATATCAGCCTTCATACTCTTAATTTGATTTTCTTTTTCTTCTAAGTGATGTGTTGCCTGTTGAAAAGAACTATTTAGGACATTTTGCTCTTCTGTTAGCTGTCTAAGCTGTGCTTCTAATTCAGAAACTTTGCAAGTTTGAATTAATAGTGTCTCCTTAACTTTAGCTGTATGAAGTTGACAATGAGAAATTCTAGAAAGAATGACATTAATTTTGCTATTACTAATGTTGACCAACTCATTTGTTTTAGATTGTAGTAAGTCTTCAGTTTTCTTACAATAAGTATCTAACTGTATTGCTAGCTCCTCAGACTGTTTCTTGAATTCCAAGCTTTTATCTTCTAAGCTTTTCTTATTTTTTTCATGTGAAGATTTCAAACTCTGGAATTCTTCCTCTGTGGCTTTCAATTTGTCAGTCAGCTCACAAACCTTAAGCTTATCTTGTTCTGCAAGTGTCTTTAACTCAATTAGCTGCTCTTGAAGAATAGTGTTTTCCTTCAGAGAATGTTTCAGGTCCATGTCTAGTTTTTCAAGTTGTCCTTTCAGTTTGTCTTCATTTTGTGTGAGAGAGTGTAAATGAGCAGACTTCTGCTTTAACTGTTCCTGTAATTCATTTACTATTGTATCCTGCTTAACACCATCTTCCTTCAGCCACACTATTTCCTTGTTCATCTCTTCTTTTTCATACTCAAGGAGGAGGATCTTCTGTTTCAGATCCGTCATTTCTTGTTGTTTTTCCTGTAATTGAATTTCATGTTTTTCCCGAAGTTCTTCAGCTTGCTGATTAAGTTTCATTTCCCAGATTAATATGACATCATTGAGTTCTCGTTGGTGTACCTCACTAAGACTTTCTATTTGTTCCTTCTGGTTCGTTTCCAGTCTTGACACTACATCATTGATTCCAGCTGAGTTAGCCTGTGCCATTTCCAACATTTTGGCATTGAACTGTTTTTCTTTCTGACTAAGCTCTAGAACAGTATTTTCAAGTTCTTTTTTAAGTTTGGCTTCCTGATCCTGATATTTCTTTTTTAATGTTTCTTGCATCTCCTTTGCTTTCTGCTTAATTTTTTCCATCTTTTTTTCTTGGTTTTTAAATTTTGTTTCATATTCCTCATGCAAAGTACCAATACTGCCTTCTTTGGCGGACAATTTCTGTTTAAGTATCTCAACTTCCTTGTTCTGTTCTTCTTTCATTTGTGAAATTAAATTTTCCTTTTCCATCAAACTTGTCTTTGTCTGTTCCTGCTCTATATTATTATCTTTAAGTTTGGACTCATAGAGTTGAGTTAGAGATTTTGCTTTTTGCTCCATTTCACTATTTTGTTTTTCAAGTTGCTGCATTAAATCCTGCACCTGGATTTTGTGATTGTCTAACTCAATACTAATATCTTTCTTTTGCATTTCAACTTCAGCTACCTGTTTGCTAAGAAACAGTCTTTCTGATTCTAAATCCAGCAACCTTTTCTGCAATTGGGCCATCTGTTCCTCAGATGCTTTTGCCTGTTCCTGTGAGGTACTCTGGTATGACTGAAAAAGATCCAGCTTAGCAGAAGTCTGCTTCAGTTCCCCTTCAGACCTTTTAATATCTGCCTCTAAATTCTCCACATGAGCTTGAAGCTCTTTCAAATGCTGGTCTTTTTCCTTTAGAAGAAGTCCAAGTTGGTTAATTTCATCTTTTAATGCTTTCTCAGTTCTCTGGATAGCTATCTCTTGTTCCTTAATGATACTGTCAACTTGCTGCTGGTGATGGTTTCTCTCTTCATCCAGCTTGGCCTCGAAGTCCTGTTTCGCTTGATCTGCTTGAACCTTTAAGGCAGAAAGTTCTTCTTCTAGCTTGTGACGGGTTTTTAATACTTCGGAGAGTTCAGAAGATAGTGACTCCAGTTCTGTTTGCTTCACATCAAGCTTTTCTAATGTTTTTTCATTCATCTCTTCTATGTGGTTCTGGAAGAGACTCTCTTTGTCTTTCAACAATGTTTCCTTTTCCTGCTCATACTTTTCTCTAAGTTTTTCCATTTCTGTCTGATGCCCTTGCTTTAAAACTTGGAGTTTTTCAGTCCATAGGTTATCCTGTTGCTGCTGCAGACTTTCCAGCTCTGTCTTGTGCTTTTCAACCATGACTGTGATTTCTTTATTGTGCTTATTTTTTTCAGCTTCCAAATTGATAGCTGTATTTTCTGACTGATTTTTGCTTTCTTGTAAGCTTTTTTCCAAGGAACTTTCCAATTCAAGAATTCTCTGTTAATAAAAAGAGCTATCGTTATTAAAGTACATACTTATTAACAATGCTATGCATGACATGATGTCTACCACCTACTTAAAGATTAAAATGCAGATAAATAACTCTATATATTGCATCAAATGCTAGGAAGGACAATTTTTTTGTGTGTTAAATTCATAAAGGAATCATACACCAAAAAGGTGAAAGAACCCCTCATCCATTTTATTCTTTCTACATATTTCAAATACCAGTATTTTAAAGAATATTCTAAATGGGTGGTTGAAAAGAAATAAATCATAAAGTAAATAAGATCAACTGTTGGTTACTGTGTTCTGTTGAGTCAATTCTGATAGAGCAGAACTGCCCCACAGGGCTTCCTAGACTATAATCTTTATAGGTGCAGATTGCCTGGTCTTTGTTTCCATGAAGCCACAGGAGGATTTGAACTGCTGACCTTTTGGTTAGCTGTTGAGTACTTAACCATGTGCCAAGAGGGTTCCTGAAATGGTTGGAAGATAGATTTTTTTTTTTCTCCAAACCTACAATAGTATTCTATTGTTTTCATAATTTTTAATTTTAGAAGAAAAATAATGTACCTAATTTTTCCACCACAAAAATTATTTAGAAGATAGTTTTTTTCAAAAAGAAACTTCTGCAAGTTTTACCAAAGATTACTATTATCTCACAAAATATAAGCGTTGAGGTGGTAAGGCCTAGGCCAATGGGAAAAAAATTACTGATTTCCAGGAGGATGGAGTAAGGTTTCCCAATGAAATTCTCACAGGGCAGCCCTTGTCACCCTCAAAGAATGAGCAGGTAAATTTTCTGATGGATAACAAACCTGATGGGCAACATCCCTAGCCTTGTTCTCATCAATACAATTTTCAATTTTTTTTAAAATTTCTTAACAACATCCCCCCTCGACCATCCTGCCCCCACTTTGAGAAAATCTATCATAGTTACCCTTTTGGGATCATTTCAAAACAGTTTCTGTAATTATCTGATTGACCTCTCTACTGCCCTGAATTGAACTTGCTCAGCAGATCCCTTAAGAAGCCAGTGTTCTGACTGGACCTTCTGTTGAAGGTACCCTACTAAGACTAAGACAAACGTACTGCTGAGAGCATATGTCTCCAGCCATCCACGATGGCAGAGACATGTTGAAACATGGTGTATTTGGAATAAACCTATGCATGAATGAACTGGGAACCTACTTACAATACTTTTTAACTTTCGCACCTCAGTAATGCAAGGTGTTAACAAGTAAAATAATGTGCAGCGGGGAGGGAGAGTATTTGGGAACTCTATACGTTCTGCACAGTTTTTCTGTAAAGTTAAAACTACTCTAAAAAATAACATACATAGTTTAACTATCAGAATGGAAAGATACTAAGGAATTATCAAATCCAATCCCTTCACATGACAGGTAAGGGATTTAAGGTAACAGTAATTTACAAAATTAGCAATGAACTTACGCCTTCTAATCACTCATTACCTTTTATCATGCCACCTTTCATAAATGTTACAAATGGGAAAATAAATCATAGTTTAGAAACTGTAATAGGTGTGATTATTTCTTTGCCTAATTCAGTGCAAAAAAAAAAAAAAAGTCTAAAAAGCACCTGTAAAAAGTTGCATTGACAAAATTAGAACATGACCAAAAAAAAAGAATATCCACTGAGGCTGTTTATGTACAACTAAACACCTCGTTTAGTTGATCTCCTTTCTTGGTTTGAAGGTTTAGGGTCATGGTTTCATGGAATATCTCAATTGGTTTAATAACATTTTTAGTGCTTCCGCCCTACCTCCTAATTTGTGTCATATTGTCTGGGTTCTTCATGTTAAGCAGCCATCCAAGCCACAACATCTAGTATACTGAAGCAAGAGATGAAGGAGCATCACGAATAGAAAGAGGATATGGCATGTATAGCTAATTGCCTCCATGAACACCTGCCTCCTTTGCTGTGAGACCAAAAGAATTGGATGCAGTCCATTTTGAACAAAGATTCTATTGAAGAATCCAGATCAAAAGGAAGAAAATGCAGAACAGAATTTCATAATCTTACAGACTCCAGATTTAGTGAATCCATTAAGGTTACATGAACTCTTGGAACTACAGCCCTGAGATAATCTTTAAACTTTAAACAAAATATATCCCCTGAAGTCTTCTTAAAACCAAACAAGAGTTTAGCATAACCACTAATCATTCTTTTCTTTTAACCTGAAAGATTAAATAGGAATCTTAAGGGCAGTGAGTTCATGTCAATGGGAGAGGAAAAACTCAGAAAGAGAGAGAGAGAATGGTTACAGAATTGAAGGAGTATAATCAAGGTCAATACATGGTACATGAAGAAACTCTTGATATGTTTTGGTAATGCCCTGCTGTGTATATGCTTAACAACAAGAACAAAATAAAATAAAAATTTTGAAAAGACCAAAAAGTCTAACATCAGGTAGTTGATTCAAAGCAGGCAATACACTGCAAATACTGCTGAAGGTTAAGGGCCATAGGGCCTCCTTAATAACAAGAACAAAATAAAATAAAAATTTTGAAAAGATCAAAAAGTCTAACATCAGGTAGTTTATTCAAAGCAGGCAATACACTGCAAATACTGCTGAAGGTTAAGGGCCATAGGGCCTTAAAACATGCATACTGAGCCATAGGAATAAATATGGTCATGACAAAATAAAGTTTAAAAAGGAAAATTTGGAAAAAAATGAAAAGTAGAAGCAGGGCGCTGGTATAGATAACAAGTTATATAAGCAGAGAATGAATTCAGTTCAGGATGTGGTATGAGGTGCAGCAGGACAGGCAGAAGAGTACCTGGGAAAGTGCTGCCTACAAAGTGAATCTGTTCCTAGAGATGAGGACTGAGCAGTGGCATAGACATACTACAGCACCTGAGCACAAAGCAACAGAGTGAGCAGATGATGGAAATCAGAAAGGTAAAGCCAGAACCAGGACCATGATGTAGCAAACGTTAAGAGCCCAGAGCCCAAACCACTCCCATGAACAGCTCTCATTAAAAACAAACTGCATACACACAAAAATTTAACCAAGTAAAACAAACCTTCCTACACCTTTATATTGATTGTAGAAATGACAGTTTTCTTATACAAGTGATTTCATAGTTTTAGAACTTACAGTTCTGTAAGTCTCTGCTTCTTGCTGAAGGTTGTGGAGTTTATTTTCACTCTCTGTGAGAATTGCTTTTTTCTGCAACTCTAGCTCCTCCAGGGCCAACGATTCTTGCTGTTCTTTTTCTTGGGTGATCTTCAGATATTCTGATTGACTCTTTTCCTGTGCCAAAAACATTAATACCACCTTAGACCCAGATAAATCTTTATAGTGTTCCCAAAGCAATTCCACAGAAATAATTTCACTTGATCTTCACAGTGGCCCGGTGAAACAGACAGTATCTTCGCCTTTCTCTTTCCATGCTCTATTCCGCAGAAACAAGCAGTGTGGCTTTTCCAGTGGGGTCTGGCCAATCATTGCCACAATTACTATTTATTTATACGAAAAATTTTGTTCCAGTAACCCTACTAATATCTGCCATTACTTAAAATATTTTGTAAAACAACAATGAATGTTGAAGAGTATTGTGCGATCTTTCACAATTCCATGTTGTTTTGTAAAATACTTTCACCTTTACCTTCAGAAATCAGATTGTAAACTTAAATAATTTTAGAGAAACACCTCATTACTACATGAAAAATTAAATGGCAAATCAGAAGATCACTTGTGAACATATGGATCAAATTATGAAAATAGAAATCAAGCTTATATAACTTCTTTTAGGAGTCATGATGTGGCACTGTGGGAAAAAAGCACTGGACTGCTAACATCAAAGTCAGCAGTTCAAATCCAACAGCCGCTCCTCAGTCTATATAGGGTTGCTATAAATCTCAACCGACTCGTCAGCACTTTACCACCACCTCATTAATTACCAGAAGCTTCTCCTCTGCTTGTCCTTTTATCAATATCCACATTAAAAATGTTTATACTATTTTGAGAAGAAAAGTTCTAGAGAGTATTTTTTAACATTCAGTGGCTTTGAATTCTAATTAAGTATACTTTTTTATACCTATTAGATTAGGGTTCACATTGCCAACAGTAATATTTCAGTTCACAAAATCTATCACCTGAGAGCTAGTCTGGTGAAGTGCATTGCCTGAAGGAAAGATTTTGTACCATATTATGAGTAGACTAATAAAAACTAATTTCTAAACCATTCATTTTAAAACACTTTAATTATAACAACGTTTGCCCCCAAAGAAAAGATCAAAAGATTCCTGCTAACTCGATTCAAAAATTATTGCTGTTCGAATACCTCAAAACTCAGATTTAACTAAGAGTGGGAAAAAAAAATGTGGAAGAAGATTAAACTAGTGGAAAGTATTTCTCACCCTTTCATACAGAGAGCATTTAAAAAAATTATATACACTACTTGTTGTACACTTGGTGTCCACCACTAGTCTGTCAGTTTTGTCGTACTGTGATGGCTTGTGAGTTGTGATTCTAGAAGCTATGCCTGGGTATTTCAAATACCAGCAGGATGACGACCCATGGTGGACAGGTTTCAGATGAGATTCAAGACGAAGACAGACTAGGAAGAAGGAGAGACAAACTACTTCTGAATATTTAGTCACTGAAAACCTTATGAGTAGCAGAAAAATACTGTCACATATAATGCCGGAAAATGAGCTCCTCAGGTTGGAAGGCACTCAAAATGCAACTGGAGAAGAGCTGTCTCCTCAAAGTAGAGCTGACTGTGATGACGAGAATATAGTAAAACCCTCGGGAGTAAAGCCCTTGGGACCTTCATTTGCTGATGGGGCACAACTCAAAATGAAGAGAAACAGCTGTAAACATCCACTACAAATTGGAATGTGGAATGTAAAAAGCATGAATCTAGGAAAACTGGAAACTGTCAAAAATGAAATGGAATGCATAAACATCGATATTTCAGGCATTAGTGACCTGAAATGGACTGGTATTGGTCATTTGGAATCTGACACTTGCATGGTTATACTATACCAGAAATGACAAATTGCAGAGGAATAGTGTTGCAGTCATCATCAAAACAAAAAACAAAAAAAAAAACAACATATCAACATCTGTCATGAGGTACAATGCTGTCTGTGATAGGATAATATCCATGCGCCTACAGGGAAGAACAGACACTATCACTAGTATTCAAATTTATGCACCAACCACTAAAGTCAGTGAGGATGAAATACAAGAATTCTACCAAACTCTTCAATCTGAAATTGATCAAACATGCAATCAAGATATATTGAAACTCACAGGCAATGGGAATGCAAAGGTTGGAAACAAACAGGAAGGATCAGCAGTTGGAAAATATGGCCTTGGTGATAGAAATGATGCTGGAGAACGCATGATAGAATTCTGTAAAACCAATGATTTTGTTCATTTCAAATACCTTCTTTAGACAGCAAAAGAGATGACTATACACATGGACCTCACCAGATGGAATACACAGAAATCAAACTGACTACATCTGTGGAAAGAGAAGGTGGAAAAGTTCCATATCATCAGCCAAAACAAGGTCAGGGGCAGATTGTGGAACACATGTCAATTATTTATATGCAAATTCAGACTGAAGCTGAAGAAAATGAGAGCCAAAATATGACCTTGC